AAAACCACCCTTGAATATGCATGTTTAACTAGCAAATTTGTTCAAATCTAATGTTCCAGTTGCTAAGCAGTATTTTAACGCATCTCGGGACGTATCTTTTCATCAGTGGTAACCAATCTTTCCCCCCCTGTTCCACATTTATAAGGCTGTGTGTGTGTGTGTGTGAATTTTCATAACATCATTTCCTGAAAACAATTCTACACAGAGCTCCCTATACTTTCCTTTGATTTTCCTATGCCAGACAATTCTGTGGCAGGGGTATCTAACCTGTGACTGTCTAGATACAGCCCCAGTCAACATGGCAATGACCAGGGATGTTGAAAGCAGTGGTATGCAGTCTGTCAGGAGGGAGATGTGTGATGCTTCAATGGGTCCAAGAGCCCTCCCACCACCCGCCTGGCTTTGGGAAGGAGGCAGCAGGGCTCCAGCATCCTGTCAGAGCCCTGGCGCCCCATTCCCAAAGCCCAGTGAGTTTCTGCAAAGCTTAGCGAGGAAGGCACAACACTCTCACACACAACATCAGGACATCAAGATGCCACCCCCCACACACAAAATCACCATCACAGGTTAGCACCTGTGGTCCTAATTGTTCCCCTACAAAAAAATAAAATAAAAATCACTGCATGTCACTGGATGAAAGCTTAGCCTTCCCTGCATATTTATTTTGGGTGGGGAAAAACCCCCCTGCACTGCCAACATGGTGGTGAACAAGATAAAATCAACAGTAAAATTATAGTGATCAATAGAAAATACATCACAAATCAGTAGATCAAATTAATGCATAAGCATAGTTGGATCACTCCTTAGGGAAAACCCGGGTGAACAGCTGCCTAAATGTCAATATTCTAGATGCCTGCTTGATGTTGTTTCGGGGTCTATTTCGAAGGGCAGGTGTCACCACACTAATGGTCCTGGTCTAAGTGGACACAAGATAAACCTTGGACCTCAGCACTTTTCCAAATTTTGCAATGCAGTTCTTTAGTCAAGACAAGTGTACCAAAAATGCATTTAGTAGTGCAAAGTGTCCATATGAATGCATGTATCAGCAAAATAACATACGGAAATGCATTATATTAGGGGGAAATGCTTACAAACATTTGTATATAGGGCAAAACTGCATACAAAAATGCAGCACTTTTTTCTAAAAATGTTTAGGGGTACTCTCATTTTCCTATTAATATTGAAATACTACCCCTCAATGAGACCAAACTTAGATTCACAAAATGTTTATGGCTATGCGTACCCCCAGAAAAAAAGCCCTGCAGAAATGAATTTAGGAAAAAAATGCTCTAAAATGTTGATGAATTTTCATCATTGCAAAAATGTAGAGAGCTGACTTAAGATTGGAAACATGAGAAACAAAGACAACCAGAATTGACAGGCTTGTCCATCCCTATTATGGTCTATATACTTCAGTGTTAAGAGTCAAAAATACTTTATACCCCTTCAAATAAGGATGAGAGCTCATTGCTATCTCTCTCTTACACAGCAATATATAAGAAGAGCAAAAGATGCTCAGAGAAAGTGACAAGGACAGTTGAACCAACACTTCTTATAGTGTCATTTGGACAGTCACTTCTCAATTGCTTTGCTGAGCTCCTCGGTATCATATTTGACCAATCCAATGAAAGTGACAAGAGTTATGATTAGTCTTTGCACTTCCTTCTCTATAATAGGGTCTTCCAACAGCACTCCAGGGCCTTTCAGCATTTGCTTTTTTCCAAAGCTGCAGCTCTTTATTCAGGGGCTTTCTATTATGGGTTTTTCATTGGAGATGTGCAATCCTAGAGAGGAATTTGGTCTGTAGTCTATTCAAATGACTCAGAACCATGGATTACTACTGAAAATTCATTTGTCCTGCTGGATTGTACCTGATGCCATTTCTGTTGTCCTCCATCACAGTTGTCAATTCCGATTTCCTTTTAATGAGCCGGATGTCTGAGTCCATTTGTGCTGCTCTCCATCACACTGTAACCATTGTGCGATCAAAATCCAATTGCATCATGGGTTTCATAGTGTTACTGTTAAAGTACTTCACATTCCAGGAGAATGTTCAGCACAGCTGAGAGGTATGCACTGTTTGTTCTCAGTGTGTTAAATCAGTGATGGGGGGGGGACACCCGTGGCCCTCCAGATGTTGTTAGACTCCAATTCCCATCAGCCCCAGCCAGCATGGCTAAGGGTGAAGAATGATGGGAGCTGGAGGAGTCCAACAACATCTAGAAGGCAACAAGCACCACATCTCTGTGTGAAGAGTTGCGTAGTTGCACTTCATATCTTTCAAATGAAGGTGAAGACACATAGTGGCACATCACTTGTAATTGTTGTTGTTCTATTTATACCCTGCCCAACTGGCTGTAACATAATATATGAAAGAAGCAAACAGGTTCTGAGAAGGAAGCGTCATTTGGGAAGTCAGCATAGGGATTAAGTAAACTGAATTGTTTGCCTTGACTTTGAATTCCTGTCAGCAGGACTTAATTCGGAGTAACCATGCACAGAATTGCTCTTAAAGGCTCACCAAGACCACTTTAAGGAATTGGAGTGCTACAGGAAAACCCTATGAAAGAAAAGGAAGTATAAATTATTATAACTACAGGTAATCTGGAATAAGAGCAATTCTTTTTTATAAAAAGAAAAAAGATGCTTTAACTAGGTGGCTTAACATTTGACTAAACAGAAAAGCCCCCATCTCTCAAAGTTTCTGGGTCTGGAAATCTGAGAAACTTGTGGCATCACTGCACATTGGCTGCCATAGAAAAGTCTTCCTGGTCACAAAATGGCTGCCTAGGGGAGCTTCCTCAGCACCAAGGCCAAATAACCTCCCAAGAAACTGAGTACAAAAGTCAGAATTGAACACCGAGTACCAAGTCACACATTTACCCTCACAAAACACAACAGGAAAATACACTTCAGAGAAGAAAAACTGGTAGATGCTCAGAGGAACACAACTACTCCAAAAAGTCATGAAAATTAAAACCACCCCCCCCAAAGCCAGTAATGCATATACTCCAAGAAACATGCAAAACATCACCCCAAACACAAAAACCACCTACCCCACTCCTTAAAAACGGACAATGCAGAAGCATACAAACACTTAAAGTAGGACTCCAGAATATCAGGTAAAATACCACCTAAAGTCTTCCCCACCTCTATTACTCCAGTCCTCCATCTTCCACACTTACCAGACAGCAGTCCAGTCAGCTTTAGCAGGCACCTGGAAGACCAAGCACCAGTATCCAGCTGCCTCCTCCTCCTCCTCCTTCTCCTCCTTTCCTTTCCTGAGTGAAGTGTCTATGGGACTCAGAGATATTCTTGGAAAAGGAAGAGAGTGGCACAGCTAGAAGTCCACATTTCATTTTCCAGGTAGCCCAGTGCCATTTGAGGTAGAGTTAAAGAGAAAGAGGGGTATTGAAGAAAACTTTTTTTAAAATATCCAGCAACAGCAGGGACATCCATGGGTGCCAAGTGGCACTACAGAGCCCAAGAATACCTGAAATGCACAAAAAGACATATTCTCTGTTGCCAACACTGTTACAACTTCCCATCCCATCATAGAATAATTGGCCCGTGACTGTTGTTTTTGTTATCAAAATGGCCAAATACAAACAGAAAATCCAGTTAGAATAATTCCTAAATGCAAACCTTGTTCAATAACTAAGCAGCCTGCCTTCATTTTAGATTAAGCTACCAACATACATTAGTTGATTGGGGGGAGAAGGAATGGGAAGGAAACAGGCCTAAAAGACTTGAGACCTGCTAAAATGGACCTAAATTGGCAATCTATCCAGGACTTGATAAACATTGTGGATTATCATCAGCATCATTATTACTACTGTCTGCCTGGGATTGCTAACACAAAAGGAAATCTATGGGACTATCAAGCACCTGAGAAACCACAACACATATTGAGGGAACTCAATATATTTGCCTTGGTATGTCACAAGATGGACACACCTGATTTAAAGACACAAGGCAGATGAAAGATCTCAACCCTATTACTACAGAGAAATCCTTTTGATAATCCAGGGATTCTGTGAGGTTTTAACTCAGGTTTTCTGACAATGAGTTAACAGTTGAAATTAAACTCTTTAAAGGGGCATAATGGCATTACTTGCTCAAGCTAATACAGCTCCAGTAATGCCTGTATTAAAATCTTTAGTATTTGAGTAGGCTACCTCATTAAACATACTGAGCTGTATTTATAGCAGGATACTGATTATTATTACTGACCAATCTGCTCCTTAATGATTCGGCAAGCATGTTGGTTTTTATAGTAATGAAAACGGAGCTCTTAATCAGGTGATCTGACAAGTGTGCAATTTCCCCAGGAAAATTATGCCAGGCTGAAAATGGGGGTGGGGAAGGAAAACACAAAGGTAAATGTCAACACTAAGCACTAGAACACAGAAACGAATGACAACTAAACAATGCATTTATTCATTTTTCTTATGCTTCGGATCAGAGGAGTGCTCAAAGCCTTAAATGAAGGACTTGATGGCATATAAAGATCCCAAGGTTAGGATAGCCTCTCTTGTACCTCAGTGAAGACTAAATGATTGTTTCTTGGGTGTGGAGGGGAGTAGAATAATTAATCCATTTTATAATGTTCTGTGAATAGGACTATGACTGAGGGAAAGCTTAAGGCAAGCATAGGCAACCTTTGGCCCTCCAGCTGTTTTGGACTACAATTCCCAACATCCCTGACCACTGGTACTGGTAGCTAGGGATCATGGGAGTTGTAGGCCAAAACATCTGGAGGGCCAAAGGTTGCCTATGCCTGGCTTAAGGCAAAGCCTAGGTAGAAATTTTGGACTTGACAAAGGAGTGTTAATAGCCTGGGATATTCAGGTGATGTGTTTCCATAGTAACCAATTGTTACTCAATCATAGGTAAGTCTTCTGAATGAGATAAATGCAGACTTTGCTGGCCAGGGTGCAAGTTGGATGAGCAGGATGATCTCTGCGCCAATATGGAGGTAGTGTAATAATCAGGCCTAGATGAGGCCTAATACAGTGGAACCAGCTCAGGATCAGGTGGATCCCATTCCACTCACTACTGGCTGCATGGATTCTGTCACTGCCACTTACTACTACTATTTAGTTCATTTCTTCCCTCCCTTTCACCGTGAGATCTCAGGGTAGGTTGCAACAATTTAAATATTAAAAGCAGTTTTAAAAGATTCAGTCAAGGTAATAGGATAGATCCTAAAATATATATCTCAGGTGTCAATGGCAAGAGGTTGTTTTCGGCATATGATGAAAATTACATAATGAAAGTGTTAGGCACTTATCTGTGGGAAATAAATTCCACAACTTAAGGGCTGCCACAGAAAATCTCCTCTCTGAAACACTTCTGAGGGCATTGGACCTATCAAGCAGCTGATCTGGTGTGAGGTGGGGTGGTAGTTCCAATGTTAACCTGAACCCACTCCACCCCCACAATTGGAGCCACATGGCAATTTGAGGGGACTGTGCACAGCCCTACTATGTACCTTTCAAATGATGCTCATGGCAGTTAACAGCAATTACGTAATACAATATGGAGTAAAAAAAAGAAACAAACATAAACACAGACAGGTAAGGTGCCAATAAACTGGATAAAAACAACCAGCTAAAACAAATGACAGTATATTTACAAGTGAGCTTATGCAGTGGCGTAGCAAGGTCAGGTGGTACCCGGTGCGAAAAATTTCTTGTCAACCCCCCCCCCTTGAAATTATTTAAAGAAGGAAAAATAAGATACAGTTGCAAGTGTTATTTTCTGGTTTATTTACTTAACACTGTGAGCATAAGCACTTAAAACCTTTTTTCGCGATGTGAATTTCTTATGAATGAATTTTTTTTACTGAATTTTGCAACTTTGGCTTAATGTACAAATACAAACAAATAGCATGCACGTAATGTTTATGTCACTTACCAAACTCAATATTATAGAGAAGAGGATGATCACAATGAATCAATGAAATAAAAAATGTAACAAAAATAAATTCAGCACAACTAACTCAACAGAATGATGTGGGGTGACTAACCGGCACGGCAGCGGATAGGATTGGTTGTGGGATGAGTGATGATGAGTCACTGGTTGCTTACGTCTTGCTCGAGTACAAACTGCAGAGACAGACTTCGGCGAATCAGCGGAAAGAAACACCCCTTTTCCTTCCTTATCCATACGTTCTCCACTACACAGCGCCAAGTTCAGCCGTGTTTTGTTGCGTTTGTTGACTGAACTAAAAAGTTCCAATACGTATTATGTTGACTTGCTGAGGTTAATTAATTGTCAGTCAAAGTTATTAAACTTGTTTTCAATAATATTTTTTCAAAAAAGTGTTGTAAGCCCAATTTTATTTTATTTTATTTTAAAAACACATATCTTTGCCATTTTGTCACCCCCCTCAGTGATGACGCCTGAGGCGACCCACACCCACCACACCCCCTTCCTACGCCACTGAGCTTATGAAACAAAAGCCAGTCCAAATGAAAAAATATCTCCACCAACCAGAGCAGGGGCTTCTCTCCCTCATGGCTGCCAAATGTGATGGCCTGGGATTTGGACTCAGAGGCTGAACCTGAGGAATCCCAGCCTGCACTGGAGTCCCCGCCTCCAGAACCAGCTGAGCTGGGGCTGGGGCCTGAGCCTGAAGGGTCCTCACCTGTGCTGGATCCTCAGGCGCAGGCACCAGCTGAGTCTGCTCTGGCCCCTGAGATTATGGAGGACCCATTGCCTGCAGGTGCTCCACTCTCAGCCCCGTCAGGGGAAGAGGAGGTTGCCTCTGGGTCCGGTAACCCTCCAGCCTCTCCTGAGCTGCAGAGGCTCAGGGCAGAGAAGCGGAGGGAACTAAGATCCCGCAGGAGGAGTGCTCGCCTCCAGGCCAGGAGAGGCGAGTCACCTGTGGACTGGGACCGCCCTATGCCTCGGGGCAGATAAAAGCCAGTCAGCCCCAGTCCCAGGTTGTGGGAGCAGCGTTGTTGCTAGCCTGTTCCTGCCTGCACATCTGCCAGAGTTCCTGATCCCCCGCCTTGGACCCAGCTACAGCTTTAATGGACAGCCTCCATACTGCACCATCGACCTTGGACTGGACTCGGAGCTCGCCTCTCGGTTAGCCCCCCGGGACCAGCACACCAAAGAACCGTAGTGGCAGGGTAGTGTGTCTCCCTTGTATTCAGTACAAAATCTGCATGCTCAATGCAGCCTACCTGTTGGGCCCCTGATTTGCTACAAATTAGTAATGCAACCAGAGAAACGAAGGAACAGACACTTATCTTTTTGAGAAAAAAGGATTGTTCCTCATCTAATGCAGAGCTGGCTTTGAAATGTTGGAGACTGAAAGCTTTATTCCTGTGTTCTCTGTTGCAACCGGCTGACCCCTCCTTTGCCCACTCTATACCCTTGGTATGAAGAAGCTATAAAAGAGGCAGGAGGAGTAGCCACCACCCCATCAAATTATACAGCTGGGAAAAGGTCAGTGTAGGATGGAAGGGTAGTATAATTCACATGACCGTGAACAGAGTGCCAGGTCAGTGTCTGATTTTTATGCTGAAGGTTTCAAATGTGAGCAGAAAATAGCTCAAAATTGGTTCATTTTCATGACAATCCTGGGGACTCTTATGGGGAGGGGTAGAGGCATTTGTGAATGTAGTCCCATTAATTGTCATATTTCAAAGAACACAGACTCAGTATTACCAGGCTATAGTAGGGAACCTTCTGTTTTCAAAATGCCAGTTGCACACATTTTAAATTATAATTTTGAACCTTTTCCCCTGTTAAACTTTACTTAACAACCATCTTCGGTTCCTGTGTTAATGTCAAAGAGCTGGAAGGTATGTGAGATGTGATAATTGCAGGGGGTGGGTGTTAGTGTTGAAACTTGAGGAGGAGGAGGCTCTGAACTTCTTTGATGCAAGTAGGTTGTGTGTGCATGAAAATAAAAACCCCAGATATCCCTTATAGAGATTACACAAGCTCCAGAATGTGCCCAGAGGAAGGAGATAGAGAAGATGAAGGCTCTAGAGACCATGTCTTATGAAGAACTAGAAATAGGATATGTTTAGCCTGGGAAAGATGGTTAAGAGGCAATATGATAGCCATCTTCAATTTTTTGAAGGACTGCCACATAGCTCTGGAATGGAGAACTAAACTCCACCTCTCATCAGCTGATGCCAGCATGGGTAATAGTCAGGGATGGGAACTGTAGTCCAGCGACATTTGAAGGGCAATTGATTCTCTACTACTGGCATAGATGATAGGGGAAAATGTTTTCAGTTCCTCCAGAGGGTAAGACCTGAACTAATAGATTCAAATTACAAATTCTGAAATTGTTCTATGGGTCCTTGGACCAAAATACAGTGGTACCTTGGGTTAAGTACTTAATTCAATCCGGAAGTCTGTACTTAACCTGAAACTATTCTTAACCTGAAGCACCACTTTAGCTAATGGGGCCTTCTGCTGCCGCCGCGCTGCCGCAGCACGATTTCTGTTCTCATCCTGAAGCAAAGTTCTTAACCTGAAGCACTATTTCTGGGTTAGAGGAGTCTGTAACCTGAAGCGTATGTAACCTGAAGCGTATGTAACCCGAGGTACTGCTGTAAAGATTTATATTGTTATTAATTACAACAATAGGGATTTAGACCAAACATTGGGAAGACCAGATTGCCTTAGAAGGTGGCCGACTCGCCTTCATTAGAAATTTTTAACTGGAGATTTGTTGGCCATGTATCAGAGATACACTAGCAGCTGATATTTTGCATCTTCAGGCATTTCAGCTAGCTGTCAATTTGGTCCCATCCAGCTTTATGATTCCATGATGCTTCAACCTAGTTTCTATTGCAGAATTTACTCCTCTGAACATTTCCAATGGGACAGAAGTTTACCAGATCCCTTTTCCAGTTGATCTTTACCCTACTCAGACCTACCAATTTCAGAACTATGCTGCAGTGGTATATAACTTAACTTGAGAAAACATGGGGTTTTACAACTGGTAGCAAATGTAAATACTGTTAGCTTTACAAAGATTCCTCAAAATTTGTGCAGCTGCACTTGAAGTAAAATCAGTAGCTTCATACAGGGCTTAGAATGTTTCTGAATCCCACCCCCAATAAATTTGTCTAAGGATTATAGTTTGTAAGCAGAAGCTGGTATTTCAATGTGGAACAAATGCATTAGGAATCCTACATTTCACATACTCTCTCTTTCCTAATTTTTGAACAGAGGGAGCCTTGAGCATTTGTGGTTTGCAACAAATTTTAATTCCTTGCATTCATTCTGCCCTCCCCACATTCTTGATACCACATGCACATTGACAAAACATTGTAAAAAGCCGTTGTCATGTGATTGCATGTACAGTTCTATCAAGATTCTCTTTGAATTGTGTTTTACTAACAGAATGGGTGTTCACACCAGTAATACACAGCAAAGAAAGAATGCCAGTACAATTATACCTCAATCTCATTGGTGTTCTTTTTTCTTTTGCAGTGTTTTATCAATGCACATGCTTGCATTGGTAATATATGGTTGTTGGTGGTAGGAAGAATTGAACAAACTGTACGAATTGAAAACTGCAGCAAAATTATCCTTCCAGAATTTTAGATACTTTCCTTGCTGTCATGGGAGACTTCGAAGGCACAAATACCAGGAAGCTAGAAAAGAACTTCATTTTAAAACAAGAGCAGAATAACAATAGGAAACCCCTGAGTCCACCCAGATACAACTAAGTCCAGTGGTTTCTGGCCTCATGACTAAGGTATATTATCACAAGATTCACACTGCTTAAGCAGGAGCATAATGCAAGGCAAAACGGACCCATGGAATAATGTAACTTTGCAGGTTACATGTCAGCTCCTGACAGTACTTTCACCAGGTATCCATTACAAACCAAAACAGAGACAAAGCTTTTGGGTCACCTCAAATGCTCTCTTTTGGAAAGCAACTTTCCAAGGCCACAGGTGGAAGTCTTTTTTTGGTCCTGCCGGAGATCCTTTTAGGTGAAGAGGGATGGAATTGAACCTGAGTCCTTCTGTGTGGAAAACACATGTTCTACCTCTGTGATGTGGACAAATACAAAAGGAGTGTAGGAAGCAGACATAAAATAGGCAGTGGAAATCAATAAAAATGAATTCCTCTCTACATGAGAGGCAAAACTACATTGTGCAATGTCTCTATAATCCCTCTGTTATTGGACATACCTGGGTGTCATTGAACATTTTGCAATACAGTGGTACTGCTGGTTAAGAACTTAATTTGTTCTGGAGGTCTGTTCTTAACCTGAAACTGGTCTTAACCTGAGGTACCACTTTAGCTAATGGGGCCTCCCGCTGCTGCTGTGCCACCGCCACACGATTTCTGTTCTCATCCTGAAGCAAAGTTCTTAACCCGAGGTACTATTTCTGGGTTAGCGAAGTCTGTAACCTGAAACGTCTGTAACCCAAAGTACCACTGTATATTTATCTGCGGGGTAAACCTGGATTTTGTTTGTCTTCATTTTTTGGTCATCAAAAGCTGTTATCCTGGTCACAAGCCTCCCTGAAGACTTGGTTGTTATAGGGTGGCATATAAATATTTTAAGTATTTACAAAATTAACAAAATAAATATGGTAACCTGCACAAGGTTCTATATGAACTGCACAGGGCTAAAGTGCTTCAGTGTGACTGTCTCAATGCATTTGCCTGAATGCAAAAAATGTACCCTACACAGTATGGGTAAGACAAATGCAGAAAAGGATTTATGGCAGCCCCCAGAGAAATTCCACTCTATTTTTTTCAAAATACTTTAAACTTCCCTTGAAATTCCTTGGAGGTTTGGCTCAAGCAGAACCCTTTGGAGCCACCTCAAATTTTGCGCCAGGTGGAATTTTGGTGTAACTTTAGCCATCTTCAGGTAAGAACAGCATCCAGCCCCCTTCCCAGCCACAATTTGTCAGTCTCTTTGTGGTGTCACAGTCGCCATGTTGGGCATAAGCTCTTGAAGAAGGGAGCCTGCTCTCTGCATGCTAAGCTCCCTGTACAATTGAGAAGCCTGATCCCCTAGCCTTGGCAGTCGGATTCTATAGACATGCATTACCATGCACTCGGTTACAAGCAGTAATTCAGCTGTTATCAATTGCACCGGGATTGGAGGCTTATAGGAAAACAAGCAAGGCAAACTGTGAGGAAAATGGCAATGAGGCGATTTTTAAAGAAATCTTTATGTTCCCTCTGTATGCTGCTGAGTAAACACATTGAAAATGTATGTGGTTTGATTTTCTATTAGAATTACCTTTGAAAGACTGTTGTTGAAATATCTGAGCCACGCACATAACTGAGTGAGAAAGAAGTGGTCCCATCTTCAGCATGAGGCCTCAGAGGATTAGCTCATACGTAGATGTATATCACTTGAAATCTCATTATTTGATTGGTTAATGCTTAATGAGTTCCAGCTAAACATGTGAATTGGCTCCATTGGAAAACAATAAGGCTCAGGTGATTCAGGGTACTATGCAAGTTCTGCCTTGCAGAACTTCTGCAAGCATTTGACCGATGTTGGTTCTCATTCATTCACACTTTCAGACCTGCACTTGATAATACGGTGGCCATCAAGTGACTAATGCAGGCATAGGCAAACTTGGCCCTCCAGATGTTTTCAGACTACAACTCCCAGCATCCCTAGCTAACAGGACCCGTGGTCAGGGATGATGGGAGTTGTAGTCCCAAAACATCTGGAGGGCCGAGTTTGCCTGTGCCTGGACTAATGGGTATGTGTGTGAAGCAGCCCATAAGAGGCTCATAAACTTTCTAGTTCCTAATTTTTCTTAGATACCTTTCCCCACACACCGAAATACATAATATGTTCCAAAGGCATATTGGAAGTCTCTGAGTCCAGTCTGAGGATCAGGATGCAAGAAATTGCCCTAGAAATCTTGGCAGGTATGATTCTTGTTTGATATCATATGGTTAACCAGATTGAGTTTGGGGAAACTGGTTCATGTCAATAAGGAGCTTCTCTGCATGAATTAGCCAGAACCTGCAGCAATATTTAATTACAGAGGGTGGAACCACATGCAGCAAATACACTCTTTTCTTTGTAATCTTCTGTTTACTTGCCTTCATAATGGCAGTGTCCCACAACTCCCTCTGGAGAGGCATCCCATGAGGTCTGAGGGGCTGCCAGAAGGAAATCTTCCCCTTCCTCATCATTCAGTGCCGACACTGAGGCTGAGTTCTGAAGGCCTTCTGGAGGTTCCCTCACTGTGAGAAGTGAAGTTACAGGGAACCAGGCAGAGGGCTTTCTGTAGCAGCACCCTCCCTTTGGAACGCCCTCCCATCAAGGAGATAAACACCTACATGACTTTTAGAAGGCATCTGAAGACAACCCTGTATAGGGTGGTTTTTTGTTTGTTTTCAAATGCTTGATGTCTCACTGTGTTTTTATATTTTCTTGGAAGCCACACAGTGTGGCTGGGGCAACCCAGTCAGATGGTCAGGGAACAATAATTATTATTATTACTACTACTACACTGGAAACATTTTCTGTTTGCACACTTCATGCTGATTGGGGCGGATAGGAGTTGTGGTTCAAAACATCTGGAGGATGACAGGTTTGTGGAGGCTGACATGGAGTCCCAGTCGTAAACCCAGCCAGGGATGCCAACTTGAATAAAATATTGTGGGGTCCCAGGTAAGCCCTGCCCTGCCTAACTGATCACATGACGCAGTGCACACACAACATTTGAATGGGGATGCCCAGTCCCCTCAAATATTTTATCGTAGGAGCCAAAGCCCCCACGGCCCCTAGGAGTTGGCTCCTATTAACTCAGCTTTGACACAGTACCACTCATAATATTGTAGCATATTTGTGTGTGCACATGTGTGTCTTTGTGAAATATGCCTTTGCTTTCTTTCAGATGCTACATAAAAAAAGTAAAAAGCATTTTTCTGTGCTTTTAGTGGCTGATGAGTTAAGTCATTTTTTGGTGTTTTAAATTGTGCTATGTGTGTAATTTATTATAATTACCGGTATTTTAGTGTTTTGATTATTATGTATTGTGTCCCTATATTAGCTTTTTATATATATATAAACTGTCCTGCGATCATTTTAGGTGAAGGGTGGTTTAGAAATTTCTTAAACAATAAACAAATAAAATAAAATTTTGATGCCTTAATAGATGGATCTGCGTGGTTTTTGCCTAGTTTCCAAAACTGGGAAAGTCAGCCAACTGTGCCTCATTCATAGTTAAATTTCCCTTGGAATTTAGGAATCATTCCCCACCCTCCAAATTATGATATGGGACACCTTTGAACTGAATAGCCACATGACACCTCCTGTAATTCACAGGCCAGTGAGTATGCAGTAAATTAAGATACAGAACCAAAGCTGAATGGTAGACTAATGCAATTACCAGGCAGCTATTCTTATTGGGACAACATCCTACCTAATAACATGTTATTTATAGTCTTTAATTTTATCAGAATAAAAAGCCTTGATTAAAATAGGCTTTTAATTTCCGTTATTTAGAGCCTTTCAAATGAACCCCCTAAAATACAAATATTCAAAATGTAGTTAGAATGTGTGAACAATTAATGTTAGCAAACTAGTATTAACTGGCACAATGCCTGTATGACATGAATGTTTCTTCCACCTATTCCACTGCCATTAAAGGATCACTGATAATAATAATGATAATATTTTTTTTCATTTATATCCCGCCCATCTGTCCAGGTTTCCCCAGCCACTCTGGGCATCTTACAACATATATAAAAACTGAACAAAACATCACACATTAAACAAAATATCCTATACAAGCAACAAACAACCCAATAAATCAATAGAAACCAATAATAACAATAACAACAATAATAACAAAATGTTTGCAGTTATAGCTGAATTAAAATAACCACCAACCCCAAGTAAACATTTAACCAACACCAACCTGACAAAAACAAAACAGAGGAACCAAAATTAGAACCATTTTAAACATTTTAGCCAGTTGCCCCAACCCAAGCGTTTTTCCAGCAATGTCCCAGGAGCCTCTTTTAGCTGTTCAAGGCGAGGCTGTTCCTTCCTACTAATTTATGATTAAATCAAGGATGGTCAAATAGTGCTTACAGCAGGCATCCCCAAACTCAGCCCTTCAGCTGTTTTGGGACTACAATTCCTATTATCCCTGATCACTGGTCCTGTTAGCTAGGGATGATGGGAGTTGTAGTCCTAAAACAGCTGGAGGGCCGAGTTTGGGGATGCCTGGCTTACAGTGTTCAGTGGTTATGTTAAGGCAGAGGGCAATGCCCAGTTCCCCAAAGTAAGCATTTAAATTGATTTTGACCCATTTATTATTATTTAACATCTTTGTTTAGGAATGCAATACGGCCAAAGTATACCAGCAGAAATGCCTCCCCCTATATAGACTTAATCTGTTAGAACATCTGGGGACGTTGTTTCCAGTGTCATCTTTCTAAGATGCTAAATCAATGGGTGTCTGCCATAAGAGCTATGACCCATTTAGTCCAGCAGGACTTGAGCACCAGAAC